ATAATTCATCATATTTTATATTTTGAAATCAATTTTAAAAGTAAATCTATATTTTAGTTATTTAATTTTATATGCTTTAATAAAACCAACATTCATCAATACTTCCTCATATTAAAGATTTTATTTTAAAATCAACTTTAGAAGTAACTCTAAATTTTAGTTAAGACTAAATTTGTGCAACTAGTATTGAAAATTTAAAATTCAAACAAAATATAATATTTTTTTTTCTTAAAAAAAATGTTCTTTAACCTTTCATATTATTTTATATAAATATTTTATAATCGAAAAAATTCAATTGTAGATCAAGTATTATTAAGTGTGAAATTTAAGTGAAGGTATAGTTATTACTATATTATATAGAATCAAAGTTGACATAAAATATATTAATAACACATCTAATGTTATAATTCGGTTCTTCGGTTCGGTACGGTATGGGACGGTTCGGCTCGGTTCTCGGTATGGATATTTGTAAATCTTCAGAACCATACCAATTATTTTTTCGGTTCGGTTCGGTTCGGTTCGGTTCAGAGAAAGTCAAACGGTCAACGATTATTTTTCGGTGCGGAGCAATTTCGGTTGGGTTTTTTGGAACGGTTCGGAATTCTCTGAGTCCCATGTTCAGCCCTAATCCTGAGTGCAAAGCTGATGTACCAAAAAATAAAATAAAATAAAAAGAAAAAGTGTTGGTCCAAGCCTGGGCTCGCCCTCATGAAATTCACATAAACCATTCATACTCGGCGGGAATTATAGAAGCCAAAACAAGAGTAAGTGTGAACTTTCATTGAAGACTGAGGAATAAATGGTACCTGAGCCGCATAGTCCGCTCGACCTCTTTGGTTGGACCCCCAACATTGGGTTTCGGAATTTCGTAGAAACTTCATACTTGAGGAAGCTAGCCGACAAGTCAGGGTTACAGTAGCAAAGGTTTGCGGAAGGTCGACCTCAACATTGGCTTGGTCGACACGAACCTGCTTCGAGCTTGTGTCCCCGATGTTCGATCTCGATCTCCTTTTACCAACCGTATTCTCATGAGGAGGACGAGAGTCGATGGGCTCTAATAACGCCAAGTTGGTCTGAGAGCTAGGGAGCCCTCAGTGGGTACAATGCTCCTCAAACTATTAACGAACAAGACATTATGTGAAAATTTTGACTATTGTTTCACCGCGTTTGTTTGCTTTGTTCGTAGACATTCTAAGGCTTCCATGATGACTGTGATATATGCTATATCATAACATGTAAAAGCTATAACATGTTAAATTATAGGCCTAATGGATATTCTTAGTGCACCTTGTTATGTTGCTAGTTTTTAATATTCTTCATGACCACCTATTGTGTACCAATGATTCTTTAAGAGTCCGAATGGCTGCATACATAATTACATACTAATGCACAATTTAGTGACATGAAAAAGTGATCGAAGCCCGGGCTCAGCCTCATAAAATTTCGCATAAAACCATTCATACAAGGCGAGAAGCCCGGGCTCGGCCTCATATCCGTCTGGGTAATTGGGGAGCTTATCCACGATGGCCTCATGGTCCAAGAGTAAGCGTGAACTTCCATTGAAGACTGAGGAAGAAAAGTTACCTGTGCGAAGGTCTTAACAGAATCATAATGCTATTTTAACACTGTCGAAAACTTTTCATGTAACTTCTCCTAGAATTTTATGCTTTCAGGTTGTGCTATTTCACAGAGTATTCACTTTTTCACCTTTTGATGGTTACAGGTTGAAATTTATATGGAGAGAGTAAGGCCCGAATCACTTGACGAAAAATCTCATATTCCCTTACATGCCATCCGAAGTTGGATACTTATTATATTGGGAAGGCAGAGAGCCGTACTTTGATTCAAAACTTACTCGAATCCTGCCGCAGGACGCTCTTGTTAGTTCTCATAACTCAAGTCATTAATTATTATTACCATGCTATGCTATGAACTTACAAAGCAACGGTAACTCCCACACCGCACTTCTTTGTTGCTGCTCGCCTAGTCACTCAAATCCATCGAAAGCCTGTCAACTCTACGATTTGTGCTAGGTATTCAAATCTATGCCTACTGCATTCGCCTTTCAAAAACTATGGATTTTTTCTTTTTAAATGAAGGCTCGCGGTACCAATGATTCTGTAAGAGTCCGAATGGCTGCATACATATACATACTAATGCACATGAATTTACTGCCATGAAAAAGAAGGCGTACATTTTCTATTGGATTGAGAGCAGGTGAATGAAATCTACTTTTGTCATTGTACATGAAGAATATACACAAAGGAGATACTGATCAACATGCGGCATTCACTTTTGGGACATGGAAACAATGCGGCACCAATGAGTGACGAATCCCATGAGACAATTTCAATGGTACGTGGCAGTTTCTCGGTGCATCGGAAATACTACTACTACTCTTGACGAGAAACGGGTGATTGAGAAGCATGTCGGCTTTCCATCTGGCCGCTGGATCCTTCACCAAACACTTGTTGAGAAAGTCTTTCGCCTCCTTTGAAATCTTGTTGCCCGCTGGGATCACCGGAATCCGATCACTACAACCAATCTTGAACAGCACGTCCTTTGCCTCTGCTCTTTTGTCGAAAACCCACGGCGACTTTCCCGTGAGCATGTGAAGAACGGAGCAGCCCAGGGCCCACACATCCGATTCGGGCACGTACTCTTGCCGGGCTATTGACTCTGGGGCAGCGTAAATGACGGTGCCCACAAAATCAGTCTGATCCTCGTTGCGTCTCTTGCAGCTCCCGAAATCAGCGAGCTTGGCGTTCTCGTAGTTGTTGCCGAAGAGCAGCACGTTGTGTGGCTTGACGTCGCAATGAACATAACCGAGCCTGTGGATGTGAACAAGGGCCGCCAGTATGGAGTTTGCACAGCGGCCGACAACTTTCTCCGGGAGGCCTTTGGCGGGGATGATGCGGTCGGCCAGGCAGCCACCGGAGGCGTACTC